CTTCTCTCTGCTAGAACTTGGACCAAGTTCTAGCATCGTGGACACAGGCCTTAAGAGAGTCTACCCCCCCACCACCTTCGTTTCAAGACCTGTGTATACAACCGTGGTTCATTCTGTATGTTGTGCTGTATGTTGATGGTTCAATGGAGTCAACAGACAGAAATTCTTAACCTAACGTGTACTTGTGTGCATGTGTTTGTCAGTATTGTTACATTTATTATAATATAATACAACAAAGTACAGCATAACTATTTCTTTCATCTGCACGTGCATATTATTTGCAACGTGACATGGCCCAAGCGTATGATAATTACTACAACGATTATCACAAAAATGCGGAGCAGCAAAATCTTAAGTACAAAAAGAAATATCGAAAACTTAAGAAAATCGTAAAGAATACCGTATTCGTGAGTTTTGGCACACAACATATGTTGAAATTTTTATATATATATTATACCCTATTCTACAAATACAATTGTGCCCGTAACTGACTGTAATCTACATTCTGACGCAGGAAAACGCAGCACTATGTGATCAGGTTGCACACATGCAAGACAATCTGATGTTGGTTAAAGAGGAGAGGTTGTTTCTTCTGCGCAAATTGTGTCAACAACAGGGCGAAATGGAATCTAACTCGGCAAGTCTGTCACGTTCGCAAATGAGTAACGCGAATTCGCCCTCGCTTAATCCAGAGTGTACTACGCCAAAGAAAACGGTGAAAAAAAGGACGTCCACAGATGGATCAGGTATTATCTCCTATAACGAATTCAGTTGTAAAGATTGGCTACGTTCAGCAGAGAAACTTGCTCGGTAGGCGCTTGTGCTGATTGGATTATAGCTTTGAAATCTAGAAGAACAATTCTATCGCAGCTCTAACAACGAATTCGGCAGTTTGCACTAGTGCACATTGAGTGCATACCAGAGGCTTGTTTAGAGCCTACTCTTATATTTATGGTCATCTCAAGTACATGTTCAGAAACTGTTTAGCCAATCGAGTATTTCAAAAAGTATTTAAGACATTCCTTAAATATAGGAATTGACTGTAAACAAGCTTTAGTGCACACTAGTGCAAGCTGCCCAATTCGCTATAAAAGTATAATCATAGTATAATCAGTAGGTCCACTCTGTCATTTGTTTCATTTTATGGCGATCCCTTCCGTGTCTCCGACATTGTTCTGGGCAGACCAATGAGAAGAAAGTTGTATGTGTGGTACTGTATCAAAGCTACACTATTGCAGCTGCAGTACGTAACACACATACACCGCTGGATTGCTGCCCAGAATAATGGCGGAATACCCCGTGATTGGAACGGCAAAGATTAAAGGGACCAACAGAGAGTGGACCTACTAGTCACACTATGGTACAATCTAATCGGCACAAAGCGCTCACTGAGCAGCTTTCTCTGCTAACGCAGCAATTGTCCTATGCTTAGGAGATTGATAGGCTCTAACATTAGGATTAAGAATTAACCATCTATAGAGGGAGGAATATTTGTAATGCAGCGACTGTACTCCTTTTCTTTTGCGCGCGCGTAAAAATTACAATTTAAACTTGTAGAACCAAAAAATAAGGCAAAAAGATACAACAAAACTGCCAGAAGAGTTGTACAGTTGATTCCGTTGGATGTACACGGAAGACCAATATTCCCCATAGCCTTGGGAGATCTTACGATATATTCTCTTGGCGAAGTGGTTTCGGATCGAATTACGTATCACACGGAAGAGCTGATATTTCCAGTGGGCTATTGCAGCACAAGAGTATACGCAAATTTGAGAGATCCAAGAACAAAGAGTCTGTACACATGCAAGATATTAGACGGTGGTCCAAAACCTAGGTATACACATGAGATTACGAGAGCAATTAGGAGTGGGTTATGCCGAGGAGTTGGAATAAACATGCGAACGTGTAACTTTATTATTTGTAGATTTGAAATAGTATCCGACAATGATTTGGACCAACCGTTAGTCGGATCCAGCCCTGATGAATGTCACTCAAAGTTACTGGCAGCAATTTCTCCAGTGCTTTGTACGATAGTGCCGAAGGGTGCAGATTTCTTTGGGATTTCTCACCCTACCATACAAAATCTAATACAAAGTTCTCCGGGGACGCGAAAATTGGCAATGTACAAACAGCAACGTTTTGAAGTATGTATATAGCATTTCTGAGATTATTATATTTATTCTTACTAAAAACATGAACGTAAGCTAATATATATTTTGCGAAACTTTAAATTTTTTTTTTAAACACGACGAAAAGATTTTTCATTTTATTTAAAGATTATATCTTGTAGGTAAGCAAAAATCATGTAATCGATCGAGCTACAAGTCCTGTGACAGAAGCGGAAACTGATCCAGGCCTAGGTTTTGCGGCATTACACAGGCATTATGCTTTGAATTCTTATAGAGTAAAAGAAGAACCTTCGGATCACGATTTATTAACGCTACAAGACCTCCTTGCGTAATTGCTAATATTAGAAAATAAATAACACATGCATAATTTATATACAATAAAAAGTGAATAAGACACTTTTTATACATCCCTGTAAAAAATAGCATTTCGATGCAATTCTTTTCTCTTGTAAGTATTGACGTCAAAAAGAAAAACAACGAAATGTTATGGCTACGAACGGTTTGATAGACACACGAATGAATGAGATAGGGCATAAGTAAGTATAAGTAGAACACAAAATGAAAATTAGGTTTAAAAATTATATTATTTATATATATATTGTTAAAATTGAATCCAATTTAAACAAAATTAGCAAATAAAAAATTAGAGATTTTCTGAAAGCGTAACTAGATAAAGATAATTTTAAAAGAAACTTGACTCTTTATTTTCACAAATAATAAATTTTTTATTGTATGCAATAAAACCATCGCATGTTGCAAAACGAAATTAAAGCAATCAATGTTGACTAAGCATATGGAGTAAATTTAATAAAGAAAAGTATTGATTACGATAATTGTAGTAATGGTAGCAGATTCTTCATATGAAAAATCAAATTAACCAACATTAAATTAACATTTTTGCCATGCATAATGTTGCTTGTAACAGAGCTATTTGATTCTTTTAATAAAAGATATTTGTATCAATTCTTAAACTATGTTCTGTCTTCCCATGACTTCAAACAAATAAAAAATTTTAGAAAAATTACACAGTCGTAAAATGTAAAATAGATATAATTATTAAAAATTGTGAATGCAAATTTTGCTCATTTTAGATATTTTATTAATGATGTCTTTAGTATACACGTGCGAATAAGGGATTTCAGTTTGAAACTCTGATAAAATATCTTGCAGCCAAATAATTTATTAGCTACTATTTCATAATTTAGTAGCTTTTTCACTTTGTTGATAGAAGACTTAATGCAATTCCTGTATTTTTTGTTTGATTGCCTACTTGGATTATATACAATTATCAAACACTTTCAATAATCTTGATATTTATTTAAATTATAGTGTATAAAATGATCGATATATGACAAATGTAATAATCATTTGCACTTTCCTAACCATATACAAAAATTTAAATATTCTTATATATTATTAGCAATATTTATCGTACAATTATGATATATGTCGTTCGTTATTTTACATGAATCCACTTTTTGGACAAATCCCCTGTATAAATGATATGTATGGCACAATACAGAATTAGAATCAACAGATTCAATTGATTGATATATTTCTATTGGCGCTTACGTATAATGTAAAGTATTGTCAAATTAAAAAATTTTGTCACACCGCTCTTAAGGAAGAATATAAAATAGCCGCGTAAGGTACAACTACATTAGGATTACCTTAATGTTTGGAGTAATATCTCAATTATCCTATATGAAGATTATATCGTAACTAGATTGGATATATCAACTGCCATACAGTGTATTTTTACAGCATATGTTTATAATATACGTTTATAGCACAGCGCCGATTGGAGATCTCAAATTGATATTGAAAAATGACTAGCTACAGCATAAAAAGCTCAAAATATGAAGTCTCATAACAAATGAGAAATATATTGAGGTTTGTATATCAGTTTGTATCGCTTGTATACCGGTGATATTATCAGATACAGAAAATCATATGTACAAATAGCTTAGCTGTACAGCTAAGTCTGACAATTTTCCACCCAGACTTTCCTCATAAAATCCAAACAATTCAATATACTTTTTCTCTAGAAATTGGCGTACAATGATTGCATTGTAAGATGGTGCGTTGTGCAACAAGCACCAACTTTCTGGATCTTCGTATTCTGGCCGAACACGATGAATTCTTGCAACTAAACGCCGTAGAACTTGAACGTAGAACGCTCCCGTTACTGTTTGGTCACTTGGAACAATCGCAGAAGGCGATCAGCATTGCTTTGATTTTTCATTGTGTTTGACGTGTTTTTTTTAATTTTCAGTTCGCCGGGTGACTTTTAGGTGGCACTTTGGCGCTTTGTTTCGGGATTATATTGAAAGCACCATGTCTCGTGTCTTCAGTTATTATAGATTTTGTCAAGTTCGGGTTGTTTGCAGCAAAGTTAATTATTTTATGACACTGCGCTGTTTCATTATAATTTTCCGACACAATATTTTCTGGGCTGTCACGTGAAATGTCATAATTCAGCCATCTTACATGGCACAGCTATGTAAAAGCTATGTAAAAGCGTTTAAACTTCGTTTAACGTATAGAAGACATTCCCGTGTAGAAAACAATTCCCACCTTTCTAATGATATACATATAATGCCGACAAATAGCGCCACGCGTTTAGGCGAGAGATTTAAAGTCTGGGTGGAAAATTGTCGGACTGTGTATGTGCATTATTATACGTATATGCATAAATAAATATTTGTACTGATTGGTCCTACACTCCAATTAAAAACAATGGTCAGATATTCTTTCCATGAAGACCGAAAAAAAAGGAAATTTGAAATATATGTAGTTTTATTTTAGAAACTTGTTTAATGTCAAAAACACAAGTATACTTTTGCATTCCTCTTGAACATTGTGTCCTGTCTAAATAATAAAAGTAATATTATTTTCTGCAAGAGCAAACAATTGGTGAAATACTTTTTGAATATTACTTTATATAATTGTTAATGTTCTATATGAACTACTCTGTAACAAATTGGTAAATTGTACGCACATTGTAATATGCAAATGGTTGAAATTAGGCATTCACTCTTTCTTTTTGTTTTTACTATCATCGCTTATTGACTCGTCCGATGGTCTTATTAAATAATGTATTTGCAATTGCGATTACTGGCGAAAATAATTTCAGCTGGCAATCACTGAAACAATGTAAATCGTGTTAAATATCATAAGTAACATCACATTTTATGAAATTAATTTTATAACGTGTAAAAGAGATATACCATACTCCAGTTACAGGCTCTGCTTCGTTTCCACTTACAATAAACAGTGGAAACAAAATGGAAAAAACACAGCCACTGAAAATAAAATATTGTCTTTTATATTCATTTACATTAAGAAGTATCGCAGTTTCCATATGCTAAATTTAAGAAAATATTATTTTTACATTAACAAATAAGGTTGGGATTTAGTTATCAAGATTTTCCATCCAAATCTATAAAAATTGACTAAATAAAAACTGGTGTTCACTTTTAAGCGCTAACATAAAAAAAAACTAGTATTCGGGGAAATTTGTTCATACCTTACAAAGTACGAATTGGGCAGTTGGGTAAGTACTGCTAATGGCATACCAAAGCCTAAAAAGTATGGCCAATTGCCTTCGATAAAAGTCAGTCGTCTATGCAGCTCCCAACCCATGTTGAACCACTTGTATTCAAAGGCGTAGAGAGCATATAAAAGGCACATATGGACAAGGGCAAGAATGTCCCCTAACGGCGGTAGTGGAACTTTAGACACCAGCACTCCTTGTCCTAAGAACAACGCTTGCACTAATACGCTAAAAAGCGTGTCGGCTATCAATTTGCTTACGCTCGATAGAAGCATTGGTCTCCCCTGTCTGTATCTGTAAGCGCTGTTTGCTATGTCCTGTACACGTAAACACATTGTACCACGTTACATAAGCTCTGATAATGTTCGTTAACATAGTGGAAATTTCTTTTTTTTTTACGTTTTGCCTAAAATCACACCTGAAACCACAAACTGTTCACTATTCTGCTGAGTAAGAACAACGGTAGCACCCATATTGTACCAAACGTGAGTGATAGAAACGGCTGAATCCACGACCATACAACGAGGCCCATGCCAGGAGAGTGGCCGAATATAATGGTCAGTAAGTACTTGACAAATGGCAAAAGTCCAAAGTCGAATATCAGTATACTAGCCCAGAATACCCCGCCATTCAACGCGCAACACTGTAAGGTTCTCATCAACACCATGGATTCCCTAAAATCGAGCGCGTCGTTAAACTTTGATATTAAAATTGTTATCTTGTGTCAATTTCCTGTGACCAATGGGGATACCGTTGTTTATGCTTGGAGGGGCTCGGCAGAACGGAATCTCTCTTCCTGAGTTCTGATCGGCTAGGAGATCTACCGACTAATTTCTCATTAATCTGCTTATCCATGTAGAAAAGAACAACGGTGCCCTTTAAGCTGTCCACCAGCCCCCGACATATTGCATAAATTATTCCCTAAAAACGAAAAAGACGTTGATCCCAAGTGTGTTACATAAGTAATGAGCGTCGAATCACATCTGTTATTTTAATTAAACGCATCTGCAAGCATCGCAATCATTATATATTTTCAAATTGGTCTTTCGTGGCAAATTTATTAAGCATCGTGTGACCTCTCGAAATTGTGATCAATATATATATTTTTTTTTATTTCCAGTGTCGCATACAAATCTATGAAAACCACGCGTGAAGTTTTGTTACTCGGTTAATTACGGGCAGGCCTGATTTTTCACGAGACTTTAAGTGAAGGCTCGCTTACCGAGCCAGTGAAAGTTGAATATTAAAAAGTATCGTAAAAAGATGGCAATCAGACGAATTTACACCAAGGGGAAAATATTAGAATACGATCGGATCACGTTAGACTACATGCGATTTCAATGTAAATAAATAAGCGTCTCATTAATTTACATTGAAATTGCGTCTAACGTGTTTTAAACGCGGATAACTTTTTACAACAATCGTTTTTATAAGTGGGAATTTTTCATCGGCTCGCGCCGACAGAAGACACCGTGTTTCCAAGGTAGATACCGATCTCCACGTGCGACGGAGATGACCCGAGGGTGCGCAAGGACGCGCTTGGTCCACGAGGGTAAAGTCTACTCACTGTCACGCTATCCATTGCGGCTCCGCCTGGCTCAGACGTGGCTCAATCTACGCTCGGAGAACAGCCGACGGCACACCGGACGGTCATTTTGCAACGTGCAACGAGGTGGAATAACGTGACGTCGATTCCCCTGGCCGCGATGACGAGGAGCAACGGACACTCGCTCGGTCGTGTCGGAGAAAGTTACCTCGGGCCACCGCTGGCTACTGCGTTGCTCGCGCGTTGCCCACGACGTCCGATCCAAACGTCAAGTGATTTCGTATTGTCCAATAACGATGAGTCCCGTTGTTCGGTGCCCCATCTCCCCTCCCCCCCCTCCTCCCGCCGCCCCCGCGCGAATCGCCGATTTCCGGGGACAAGTCAGCTGAAAATTAAACGCGCGGAAGTATCAGCTGATCGGAGGTCGCTCCGAAATTATGGAGCGTCCATACCGCATTCTGACGCTCCCAGAGGTCTGTTCGTTATAACTGAATGGGCGCCGGCACTGCGCGGGAAACCGTGCGCAGTGCCGGCGTTAGCAACATTCGCGCCCCGAGCAGGATTGTCCGTGGCGCCCGTTGAAATTCAAGGGAACGACGAACCCCATTTTGTTTTTCTATTTTAGGGAATCTCTCTCGCTCTCGAACTAGGTGAAACCAGGCAGCGGCGCCCCTACAGATTTGGCGCCCTGGGCGATCGACCGCCCAACCGCGCCCCGCTCTAACGCCGCTACTGCGTTTGTCGCAAATTGTACATAAATCGTCGTCTATTTAAGTAACTGTATATCGAATTACTTTATTCACATCTGCTCCATCAGAAATAATAAACTCTAACAACATCCTGTATATATTACACGCTGCTGTTGTCCGTATAACGAGGCCCATCACTGCGTGTTCCCTGATGAAAATAAAAATTGGAGCGTAAATCGAACGTAAGGGAAGAGTGACGCAAGCGTCTACACTGAAAAAAA